GGACGTACTTCCTCCTCCTCCTCCTCCTCCTCCTCCTCCTCCTCCTCCTCCTCCTCCTCCCTTCCTCCTCCTCCTAGTCCCTTATCTCTCGCCTTGTCCACCTTTCCTTTCCCTTCCTCCTCGTCACCTGCAGGCTATCCAGGACGTTCTGGGGAGGGTTGGCAAAGAGACCGCAAGCCAAGACTCCCTTGTAGTGGAGGGCGACAGACTTGTAGAGAGCGGTAGGGTTGTCCTTCTTGGAGAGCAGGAGGACACGAGGTCGCTGGAAAGAACTTTAGAAGCACTTCCCTCCTTGTTCTGCTCCTCCTCCTCCTCCTCCTCCTTCTCATTCTCCTTCTCTTCCTCCTCAAAAACCGATGCATCAACATCCACATCATCGCTGTCGTCGGCAGCATCTCCTTCTTTCATCCTCCTCTTCCTCTTCCTCTTCCTCCTCCTCATCCTCCTCCTCCTCATCACCTCCGCTGCTGGCTCCAAGAACGAATTCCATGTGGCTCCCCCAACAGCCTGCACGAGTTGTCGTCAAACTTTATCCTCCACATCCCCATGCTCGTCCTCGTCCTCGTCCTCGTCTTTCTCCATTTTCTTCTTCATCGCTTCCGACCAATTTTAACCCCCCCAGTCCGCCTTCCAGCTTTTGCCAACCTCTTTCCTTCCTCTGCTTGACCTCAACTCCTGCGGTCCTCACCTGAACGAAGTTGGGCATGTTCTCTGTGACGAAGTCGCTCATGGCCTCGATCTCCATGCAGTCCTCCTCGCACGTGGCGGCGCCAGTGAAGTCTTCATGCTCGCTCTTGTCCTCCATGTACATCCTCAAGCTGTTTCAAAGTCAGGCGAGCATTCTCGTCTCGTTCACTCTATCCTGCTCTGTGCTCCTTCCTGCCTCCCTGCCTCTCCCTCTCCCTTCCCCCCGCTTCCTTCTTCCTCCTCCTCTCGTCTGCTCACCGCTGTCCCTTCTCTGATCCTTGCTCCTTGCAGACATCGGCAGCCTTGCTGCAGTCCAGAGAAGCGAAGTTGAAGCTCTTGGAGGAGGAGGCCAGTTGATCAATACTCTTGGGAACCTGACAGGCACTTAGAAACACAGTTCGATCAATGCATGTGAGAGAAAGTGACGATGTGAACGATTGGCACAAGTCAGTGGAAGAACAAGATAAAGATTCATCGGACATTGTTCGTATCTTCTCACCTTTCCTCCATCATGAAAGAACACCAACCACAAGTCATTCTTGTCCTTCAGAACCTTGGCAAGTTCTCATCAACCGTCATCAATAATTCCTTCACACCCCTCACCTTCTCGTTGAACGACTCAGCAGTCAACGCTTGCACAAGAGAAGGCAGCTTCTGAGCCAGGAGAGGATCATCCTGTTTCTTGTCCGCTGGAAGAGCATGCGAGGAGATGAAAGATTGGATTTCTTCCTTCTTAATCTTCCCCTCATGCTTCATGGCCTTGCTCGCATCTTCATCATCACCATCAGCATATCACCGCATGCCCCACACGCTTCTTCACCTTTCCCTGGGATCACCACCAGCTTTGGAGAGCTCTCAACTCCAAACTTGGAAGCCAACTCCTTCTCAGAAGCAAGAGCCTGATCCTCCATCTCAGCACACCTCCTCCTCCTCCTCCTCTTCCTCCTGCTCCTGCTCCTGCTCCTCCTTGTGTCCTCCTCCTGCTCCTGCTCCTGCTCCTCCTCCTCCTCCTCCTTGTGTCCTCCTCACCTGCCCAAACCTCATTCTTCCCTTGTACTGGATCGCCAGCGAGCGGAAGAGAGGGGAGGTAGCCTCTTTGTCGGAGAACAACAGAGCCTGTTGAATAGGTACATGTTACATAAGCCGTCACGTTTCTTGCAGTTGATCTCATCTTGCCCTCAACACTGTCACAGTCCCCATCCCTTGTCTTGACCTCACATAGCAACATATTTCATGAGTTTCACATACCTCACTCCACCAACAACAACAAACAACAAATTTCACACAACACACAGCAAACAACAACCACTGCACAACAAACAGCAGAAAACACACAACACCCTCTCATCTCCACCTCCTCACCTTCGGATACTCATCATCCAAGAAATCTGTCGCGTTCTCTCCCTTCACAACATGTACATAGTTGGGAAGCTGCGACAGGACCGTGTCGACAATCCCCTTAGCGCTCCGGGGACCATTGTAGTCTGACGGAAGCTTTGCGCTCTTTCTCGTGTACGGGTTGTACGTCTTCTCAACAGGGAAGACCTTCAATGTCGGAAATCCTCTCACGCCAAACTTCCCGCAGAGTTGTTTATCCTCGTCACAGTTGACGGCTCCGACTTTGATCAGCCCGTGGAGGTTCTTTGCAACTTTCTCATACTGAGAGGAGAAGATCAGCAGTGTTCTTTTACATGTAATACGCAAACATGCAAGTTTGAAACATCGCACCACGACCTCTTCCATCATCATATCACAACCTCAACTTCCCTCTATCACACCAGCTGACACCACCAGCTCACCTGAGGAGCAAGTTGCTTGCAGTGGCCGCACCATGGTGCGTAGAACTCAACCAGCCAGAACGAGTCGTCTGACTCCATCACTTGCTCATCGAAGTCCTTCCAACCCCCTCAGTCAGAACTTTCATACGAGCATCGTGGTCTCCTCGCAGAGCATCGATCCTCTCACTCTGCCCTCCACCGCCTCCTCCCTCACTCTGTACCGCAATGTCCCTCACCTTGGCAGTCAAGCCGATCACCCTAGAGTCTGCATCCTCGTAAAAGGCGTTGACTCCTCCGACCACGAGCACGAGGCCAAACGCCAACAGACACGCTGATCGTGCCATTGCCAGAGCTGGCAGAAGAAGATCAGAGGATAAACAACGCTGGGGGTGAAAGGGGTTGACACAGCCGAGGGATCAGCAGCGATCGCATGCTGTTGAATGTGAGCTTGCTGAGGAACGTACTGCGAAGACAACATGGTAGCAGAGATTGAGAATGCACAAGAGAAAAGAATCCTCACTCAAGAGGCAAAGACAATGGGCCATTCCCCACAATCGGAACTCTATCACGAGCAGGAGATGAGAAATTGTGTGATAAATCAATACGTGAGAACCAAACTGTAGGGGTAGGATGCAGGAGACGATGAGATATGAAGTATACGTGAAAGAAGAGGCATCCTTCACGGGAAAGGATAGTGCGAGAGTGTATCAATGCGAGTGGAAGGCATGCGCCGACGGTGAACTGGTGATAGAATTTGGTCGAAACGGGAGGACAGGTCATGGGAGAAGCGTATGAGATGTCTCAAGGTGGGGAGGAGATATCGCAGAGAGAAGGGGAGAGGAAGGAAGAGAAAGGTAGCAGGAGGGCGCGACTAGCTGGCAGGAGGAAACGCGCATGTTCGCAGCGACTGAATCATCCGTGCATTGGGAATGGAAGCACAGGAGGGGGGGGCGATGGTAAATGACTAGGTGGGGGTAGTCACCCCTACCCCCTTCATATAGTTATTTTGATTAGAGCGCTTCAGGTGCAATGTAGGTGGGTACCCTCTGCAAAGTTTTTGTGGTGCGCCAATAATAAGAACCCGTGTAAACACCACTAAAAGTAGGGGTAGGGGTTCTTGCCGTTCCCTTTCCGTTATCTGCTGATGTCATCAGAACATCTCGAACGTGGACCCGGTGACCGTTATCGCATTGAAACCGATCGCCGCCGCCGGCCGCCGCCCCGGGCCCGGCGGGCCCGGCGGGCCGCTGCGCCGCTCACAGGAGCGGCGGTGATCGGAACGGGTGCCGCAGTGCCGGTGCCAGTGGCGGCACCGTGGGCCGGGACACTCGGAGCGCCGGGCCGGCCGGGCCGCTGACGGTGGCCGGCGCCGGCTAGCCCTGACTCGTGACTCAGCACTCAGTGACTGGCCGGGCGGCCCGCCGCCAGATCACCGATCATCATCGCGGGGGCCCCGGCCCGCGCCGGGTCACCGTCGTGACGGTCCTAGTGCCGCGGGGCGGCAGACGGTACCATCCGATCAATATAAAAGAAGCCGACAGAAAGTCTGATTTGCCATGCATTGAATTGAGACGTTAAAATTACACCCTCTTGATCACTTTCGCTCCTTCCGATGTTCGTACCTTCCAAGTTGTCTTCATGTTCGCACTGTAGCACACACACAAACTGTCTTTAGCTGCATCGCATCACTTTTCTATTCCTCTCCTGCCCTCTCACAGTCTTCCTGTCAGTTACCAGCAAGGCAAACTAAAGTATGCTCTAGATCTTAAGAGGAGCAATCGCGTCATTGCTGCGAGTAGATTGAAATCCCAAGCAGAACTGCCTCGTGATACTTCGACTTTCTGTAGATCAAAACTCCCCACCACACTGACCACAACCATCCCAGGAGGATGGGAAAGATGAAAAACTGTATGACCTATTCACAAGTCAGCCGCTCAGTGACTAGCATGTGAAACGAGATATACCCCGATGAAGACTGTAGATGAGCTATTGGCCTGCACGCCGGCAAAGATGCTACCAAGACCAGGGATGAAGATATTCAAGAGCAAGCAAAGCAAACCCGTGGCGCGAGGAACGGAAGGAACCTGTTGGTTCTTGATATCCATGTATGTATTCTCACACAAGCCCATCTTGAAATGATCTACCGCCTATTCGAAAGCATCAAAACACGCCAGACACGACCCGATATAGGAGACAACTGATGAGGCTTATCCTTAGCATTTCAATTCACGCTTCATGACATCATTGCAGATCATGGTCTAGTCGCATCCACACGTCTTGTTCTCTTTGGCTTAACTTCGACCTTCCTCTTTGCCAATCTTGCTCTCTTCTGTTCACTTCGTCTTCCATCATTTCACCATCTTTTACCTTTGATTCGGTCTCATCCTTATTTCAATTTTCCTCTTCTCCTCTCCTCCCGAGTGTAGTTCTCATCGTTCCACAAACTCTCCCAACATTCTGCTTCACTAATCAACTCTTTTCCTTTTCAATTCAAACCATTTGTTTACATTAACCTCCCCTGCTCTTCTCTCTCTTTCTAAGTATGTTTTCACTTTATAGTCTGTCTTCTCGTCACATATTCTCTTCTATGCTCTCATTCTTGTCATCCTGTCTTCGCTTCCCTTCTCCTCCTGTCCTGTCCTGTCCTGTCCTGTCCGTACTGTACTGTACGGTACTGTCCTCCTCTCCTCCTCTGCTACTTACTCGCACTTCTTCTTCTTCCTCTTGGTCTTCTCATCTTTCCTTCTCAACTTCTCTTGCCATCTCCTCCCTCCCCTACCCCTTTAAGACCAGCATGACCGCCTACAGTTCGTTGCGACTGACGTTACAGTATAATATACACGACAGTTACATCTCAATGAAGATGTAACGGGTTTCAACAGTCTTGGCCAAAACTCCGAGGAGCTGGTGCTTGAATTATTGTTTGCTGTCTTTTTGTTTTATCTAAGTAAGTGTTGAGGCAGACTCGTACATTAGCCTCCAACAACAATTGAGTAAACGCCTTGTTCACAGTCACGTCATGGCACGCCTGTTCGGCCTTCTCCCCGCGATTGCGATGATGATGCAGGCGATGGAGGCGAGCATGGCGTAAGCGAACATGATCCATCCTCTCTGACGACTTCATCCTCAGATCGCAGGCAAGACTGAGGTCGTCCGGCACCGAGCTCGCCAGAATCTTTACCCGCTGGAGGTGGCGACTTGCTATCAGTGTTGTAGCCGAACATGTCGAGTGACATTCTGAATGTCAAGGTCCGAGTCGAGAAGATCAGCACCTTAGCTCGTCTTGAGGGCGATGCGTCAGGTTTGTCTTGTGGCTGCTTGTCAAGGCCGTGAGTGACTGCGACGATCGGCAGGGTCGAGTTTCCAGCCATCTTGCTTCGATGCCAAGATCGAGATCGAGCATGATTGCTCCGAGGTAACTAAGGAACAGCGGAGAAGCAGGAGGGCAGCTGGGTTGGAATGTGACCCACTCATAATTGAGACGGGGATTGAGAGAGGGAGGGTGCAAGGTTAGGAGGGGCCATGGACGGTGGGGAGGAAGTGGCGGAGCGATAAGCTCAACCTCTGAAGGATTTTCAAGGCGAGAACATGTGGCTGCATGAGCAGTGTTCTGTCGATTCAGGTTTTACCCAGCGGGTGGATGGTTTGTGCATGAAAGTTTTTGTAGATCGTCAACGGGGGAGAGATAGTTCGAACTCGTCTGGACGAGGTTTCAAATGTCTTTGAAAGAGAAGCCGTCACATTCAATGTCACCTTGTGTGCACCAGAAGCTGGTTGGTGTATCATGTGAAGATGCCTCGCTTCTCACTGAGTTCACTTCTTCCTCTAGTGACTGGCAAAGTGACTGAAACGTTCCACGTCGGCTTGATGACGTCACTGTCACGGTCGGAAGGGGGCAGGCCAGTCTCATGGACCTGTGCGAACATATCAAGCTCTGGACAAGTCGGAGATTGCGAGATCGAGAAGAGCTCGAAAGAATCTTCTACAGTGGTTGTGACAGGAATCTCTAAGGGAAATGAAGTGAGATTTTGTCGCTTGTCAGAGATTTCGTCCACCTTCTTACTTGCTCTCTCGGACAGAGCTGTGCGAACCCGGAGGCTGCATCGAATCTGTTGAAAGATGCGGTACTTGTTCAAGTGATTGTGCTCCTGTACACTCATTCGAGTTGAATGCAGAGAAGTCACATGCAGGCTGGACGCTTTTCGAGCGCGCTACTCTCTTTGAAACAGATCCTTGAGGACGAGCGATCAGAGATGAAGGAGTACAAGGTGCAGGCAGCGAGGCTGAGAAACTCTCTCCTTCCTCCATTGCTGCTATCTCACAGGTAAAGTTTGTGTGCTTGTTTCAATCTTGCAATGAAGGTGACTTTGTCGACGATGCAGATGTTGTGACTCTTTGAATCCTCATTGCGCATCTCTCGACAAATCTCTTCTGTTTGCGACTGATTCTTGGGTCAACCCGCCCTGTCGTGTTGAGCCCTCTGACCATCCCGCCAGGTAGAGGAGGACATCATCAAAATTGTCGGGAGAGATCAGTGCAGCGGGCTGTTTGTAGAGGTATGACGTCTGTACTCTCCTTGCCGTGCTCTGAAAGGCGTAGATCGGAGCAGGGGATGGCGTTTCCAACAGTCCGACGCTTTTCCTGGAGAAGTTCATGGGATGGAAAGGAGCTCTCTTCGAGGCAGAGCAGGAGGAGCTGGTGTCCTGCCATAGTGACGACGATGAACAGGATGATGAGGAGAATTTCAAGTTGCTCGAGAGTAATGGTAGATCAGCTGCCAAGTACAAAGACGGCTTCCGAACTAGTGGAGGTGGTGTGCTGCTAACGTTTGCGTTTGTTCTTATCATTCCCTGCGTGCAGGAGTATTTGACGCTCGAGATGCCATCAAAAAGATGTTTGATTCCTCCAAGGACGGAATCCAGATCATCTTCCTTAATCTGGCTGGTGAACTACAGCTGGAGGCACTGAAGGCCATGAAGTTGGAGCCGTCGGCTGGTTGCATGCTTCTTGTCCTGTCTCGCTCTCTCACTGGGAACTTGGCGTTCAGGTGAAGAGGGGATGCTAGTTCCATACACATACCTGTTGGCGGTGGAGCATGACGGGACGATACACGAGGAGGTATCGGAACATTTTTCTTCTTGTTTGGGTTTAACCAGCGCGAATGTCAGGCCAAAAGTCTTCTAGCTGCCAAGGACTACGCCTGGAGAGCAGGTGCAGGCGAAGAAGGAAAGGGACGACGATACGACATCTACCACTACACCTTCCCGAGTCATCTGATGGAGGCCATGATGAACCAGGCCGCTAGTCAAGCAAGCTCAGCCTCATGATGCCAGTCAGATGCCCCTGAGACCAGCAAGCCCCCGGGCCTGCCATCATCCGATACTGATCTCTGACTTCTCTCTTCACTGGCTCAGCCTTGACTCGAAGTCTTCGTGGCCACTGCGGCCTTGGAATCATTCAAATAGTGCGGCAGGAGGGCGGGGCGCCCCCGTTATCCGAATGATGCTGTGCTGAGTCCCGGGTCACTCTGCGAGCGGCGGCGGCACGGTGAGGCGGCGAATCATTGCGAAGTTGGCATGGCATGCCACGGCACTGCAGTCCGATCACCCGGCGCCATTATACCCGCCCGGCGGCGCCGGTCTGACGGCGCCAGGCGCCGGTTTGTGCCAGGGCGGCCGGAGGCTGGCCGCCGGGCCCCGGCCAGTCACTTGACTCAATGATCGGGCGCAGTGTCACCGGATCGGACACCGTCCCGGCGGAGCCGCTCACTCCGACTCTGAGCCCCGGTCAATGCGCGGCCATCCGATCCGAGTCATGGCCAGGCTCGGATCATGCCGATCATCCGGCGGATGGCGGGCTCGCCGGTGCCACGGTGACCGGCGGTGTCTGTGTCGGATCATCGGACCGTCACTGTGGTCGGGGTCGCGCGCCGCCGTGGCGGCGGGCAGCGGCTGACTCGGGTGCAGTGCCCGGCGGGCTCAGTGCTCAGCGTGGCATGACCGTGCCTCTGTGAGACGGTGCCGGCCCACCGCCGCCGTGTCACACTGTGACACTGAGTGTCAAACCGTGTTCGGCCCGAAAGGTGGCCCCGGTCAGTGACTGAGTCGGACTCCGGGAACTTTCAAGTTTCTCGCCGGATCATCATGCGGCGCCGGACGGTGACTCGAACTTGAAAGGAATAAATAGGGAACTTAGAACTAGCCCCCGGATCATGGAACTTCGGAAATTTGTGCCAGTGACAGGCTATCTCAGCCCGCCTCTGTCGATCGGAAAACTGTGACCGTCAGCGGCGGATCCGAGTCCCGGAGGTCGGAGGTCGGAGTGACTGACTCCCGAGCCTGAGCAGCGTGAACGAATTTCGAGCCTGATCACGGTTACTGTACTACTCAGCCAGTGTGACGGCACTGTGCCAGCCTCACTGCTCGGAGTGGCCCCGGACCGGGATGACCGGGTGCCAGAGGCGAGGACTGTGTGTCCCCGCAGTAGTGTACCAGGGCCACCGTACCGTCGGTGCGATCATCGGATTGCCGTGCAGACTGAGTGCCGTGTCATAAGCCGCGAGGGCCGCCGGGATGATTTTTACGTGGCCCGCGCAAAACAACCTAATTTCATTCTTTCCCCGAACTTGTGCGGCGCTAAAACCAGTCTCCCCTAACGTCCGGCCTCACCGTCGACGGTCGGATCGGCTGGGCGTCCAGTTGGTCACGGCACGGCACTGTGCTGGGTCACGCAGCTCGTGTAAGGCTGCTGGGGAGGCTGCGGAGGACCGGCGAGGTCACCTTGTTTCAGTTTGTACCGAGATAACCGTTTGTAACCGTAAGATGTGTCTAAGGAACAATCAAGTCACGGGCTGCTAAAAATGGACCAGGAGCTTTACACTCATCGTGACTGTTGAGGCCTGAGAGTCATTGAGGTAGGGTAGTATATTGGACCCGTACCTGTCCACATCTAATTCAGTATCTCATGGGGTGGGGTGTCCAAACGCTGACTTTTGAGGAGGAGGGTGGGGATTGGGGACAAGCCAACGGAAGAGGTCGTTGAAGTAAGAGCGGTAGTACTACCCCCGCACTGTCACTACCCAGGGGAGCAATTGGATCAAAATTCAGTCAAATGGAGGGTAGTGGTTGGTTGAAAAAGAGTTCAATGTGTGGTGGGTGGTTGAGAATCACTCCGGGCCACGACGAGTCCGTGGGCAATACTTGTAGCGAAAAGACTTATTTTCATTTCTCAGTAATTTCCAAAAACAGAAGTTTTCGATTTGCAGCAACCTTCGAGATCCACGTGGAGACAAATGGAAGTTGGGTACGCTTCTTGTAGGAATTGGGGGTGGTTGGTGGAGAAATCTGCCAAGAGGTATGGTATAGGTACAAGATTCTTCAATTGAGGTAGAATGGAATCGATAGAGCCATACAGGACAAGGTCAGGAAGCTGTGCCCTTTATAACACGAGGGGAAATAGACTCAGAATGGGGAGGTGGGGTAGTCCTGTTGGGGGGAGGGGATTTTTAGCTTGGGTGGGGTGGGAGAGCCCTTAATTTCCTCTGTAGCGAAGCAAACGTCACTTCGAAAGCTCGCATCTGCAGTTACCACCTGTCTTTCTCTCTCATACCTGTGTCCCGCATAATCAAGAAGTTCTAGAGTGCAAGTTATCAATCTAAGATCATTCCTTACTCCTTGTCACGAGAAAACTGCTGCAATTTAAACTAAAGGAGAATGGCACAGAATCTTGCTGAGACTGTTCGCAACATTGCGCATCTGTTTCAAGAACCCATCAAGCCACACGCTATCAGACGGGCATCGTCAGCTGATAGCATCTATTCTCTACGCATCTGTGAGGTATCCTTCGAGGAAACTCTTGAATCTCTCGCAAACCTCTCGCTCCCCGACACCAACGACCAGGAGCAAGGCATCTTCGAGCTGGACACCAGCCTCAACAAGAGCCTCGCTCCCAGCCGATGTGAGCGAGTGCATCTGGAGTCGAGCTATGAGGAGGGCGGAGAGGAGCGGTACGTGAGGCGAGGGCGATGGGAGGGCGTACGGGGGGAGTACAATCGAAGCATAGCGATGTCAGCCATCGAGTAATGTTGAGAGGTTGTTTGCTTGATTTTTGGATCGAATGATGGCTTGTAAATTTTGTGTATTCTATTTGAAGGAGCTAGATTTGTTTGTCAAGAGTGTATCAACAGTTCTGAGGAATAAAATGATGAAAGATGACCTTTGAGTCACTGATTTTTTCCAATTTCGAAATCGTCCCAAAACTTGATTGATGATGCACTAACGATGATCTACTCCCAGTCATTATTCCTGGGATCTTTCATGATGTCATTGCATTCAGGAGGCAGTCAAGGAGATTGATGAGCAGAGCAGTAAATGTGTCTGAATTGCAAATATCTTCACTCGGGCACACACTATTGATAGTTTTTCAATGTATAGACTATGTTTTTTCTCATTGTTCGAAGATTGAAGTACACAGAAAACTTTGCATTAAGAATATGTACCTGTTGTCCATTCAAGCTCGAGAGACTTTCGATGAGTTGGTCGTCAGTCATGATCAAAGTAGTTCTGACTTTCAGTCTCTGTTTATAAGTGCCAGCACGTATCAAGAGTCTCATGCCAAGCACGAAGCTCCCTCGCTTATTCTCTTTGGAGAGCGAGATGATGAAAACGTCAGTCAAAGACCTTCTGAAGGTACCTAAACCCAACCTAAGAACAGCTTCGCAGGTAATCCAGTGTTGAAAGAATAAGTGTATTTCAACACGCCTTATCATTCTACATGTACACGCCGCCTATCAGTACCATAGCCAAGATCTATATCAAACTTGAAGGCATGGACGGCGTGCGATTTGTTCTTGTCATGAATTTCTATATTGAGTTTCTTGCGAAATTCCTTCTTATCGGATCAGCCAACAAGCTCTCCGATTTCTTGCGAGCTGGCTGTTGCGTTGACGTGCAGTTGGTCCATCATTCAGTGATCTAGCTGCATTCTGCACGAATTGAGACCACGAACAGATTCTTCACTGTAAGTGTAAGATTTTGACGTAAATTCGAGTGAACATAATGAATTCAGTGTATGCAGCCAAATAACTGCAAATTAGAACGTAAATAAACATTTACTACAATGCATTTACAAATTGATTACACCTCTTGGCTTTCGATCGGTTAGCAAACATCAATAGCTTAGATTGCATTAATAACGCATTCATCGGAATCGCTCGTCAATTCTTTGAAAAAACAACATCTTTCAGTTTTACAGAGATGATCAACATCGAGATTATCAACAATGAAGTGATCACCCAACAATGAAAAGCGAATCAGTCTGGAAGAATGAGTTCATTTTCTTATCAAAACATCATGTCAAAACGATGTTTCGAAAGGGGAATTTTGTCTTTGAGGAAATTAATTCACAAACGAAACAACACTGCAATACGAATAGCGGCCCCTCACTTGCTCTTCAAGGAAATGCACACGAGATCATTGATGAAAAATATACATGACAACCCTTAGTCCATGTCAACAACATCAAAAATGTAACTTGACGATCCTCGTGTCTCCATTCCACCATACGATGCTGGTAAAATTTCTCCTCACCCCAATAAAAAAACGTACAGTGGTTCCGCCCAGGCTCGAACTGGGGATCTTTCGCGTGTGAGGCGAACGGATTAACCAACTTTCCCACGGAACCTGTTTACTCAACCAAGTCTATTTTAGGTATATAAAGACAGTTAGCTGCCCGGGCCTCCGATTGCCCCGCACCGCCGCGGTGCCGGTGAAACTTTCAAGTTTGCAGGCCCTTGAAGCTTTTCTACCGTAGTACCTTGAAAACATTGAGTAAACAAAAAAAATCATCAGCGGTCACAGTGCCTGCCAGGTCGTTCAAGTTACTTTACCGTTAGTGACTCACTAGTGGGTGAGTACCACCGGTCACGTGTACCGCCGGGCCCGGCCGCCGCCGGCAGCGGCCCGGACCGTGACTCCGGGTGGCTGAGGATTGGTTTTGGTTCTCGCAGTCTCTTCATAAGTTCTCTTCGGACTCGCTTCGCCGTTTAGCCTGGCACGGTGCGACAGTCACGGTGTCAGGGACGCCGGGTCAAGCCGGGGCCGCTCCGAGGCTCAGATCGGACTCGGACCCGGTCTCGGCCGCTGCCAGTCGGGGGCCGATCTCCTGACTCGGTCCGATCGGTCACCGGGTCACCCAGGTTCTCGTACCGTCTGATTTTTAACTAAGTTAGTAACTTTGAGTAAAAAAAAGGCAGCCAGTGACAGCCGGGCGGCGCAAGTCACACGGCGGCCCGTCACAGTGAACTTGGAACTTGAGTTCAAGTGACGCCCGGCCGGGTCCGGTCTACCGTCGCCGCGAGCCTCCGCGTCGGAGCGGCTCGTCCGACGGGGACTCCGACTCGTTCCGAAAAGTCGCCGGCCGCCCGGCGTGACGGACTCGCGGCCCGGGCCGGCCGGGCGGCACACCGAGTCACACGAGTCACTGTCTTGCACTGCGGCACCTACGGAGTACCGGCGACGGTAAAGTTGACTGTATGTCTGTCGGATTCACCCTTTTCGGGACCGTGCCGCGTCACGGCAAAATCCATGACCGACGGAGTTCAGGACCCACCGCTGACGGTCAGAAGATGACTTGCTGATCTTTACCACACTGTTATTCACCTCGTGACCGAAACTTTCACCTCCTTGAAGCTTTCAAGAACTACCTCCCTCCACATCCTCCGCACCCTCGCCGGCATGCTGATGTTTACGACTACCGTTTCACATGCACTGCCTGACATGGTGAAGCCGGCTCGGATCGCAAGCCCATCCTCGTCCGTCGTCGACATCGCGGCATTCTTCAAGACAGCCGGCGAGACCGACAGCATCGTTGGCGATGCTCTGGAGGATCTCGCAAACCTCTCGCTCCCCGACACCAACGACCAGGAGCAAGGCATCTTCGAGCTGGACACCAGTCTCAACAAGAGCCTCGCTCCCAGCCGATATGAGCGAGTGCATCTGGAGTCGAGCTATGAGGAGGGCGGAGAGGAGCGGTACGTGATGCGAGGGCGATGGGAGGGCGTACGGGGGAAGTACAATCGCAGCATAGCGATGTCAGCGATGGTGTGACTGGAAGAACGAATGCTCTTTCGTACGATCACTTTTTTCATGACGACAGAAATGTTTCAATGAGTGGCATTGGTTTCTGTTTGGATGATGTTTTTTTTTAGGTATACTGCATGATGTAGATATGATTGGGGTGTAATAAATAGAAATCACTGCATCGTGATACCCTGGGATCCAGTGCCACAAAAGTTGTTTGATATCAAGCCTCGATTAGACTGTTACATCAATGAGATCTCTGAACATGTGAAAACAATGGCTATGTGCTCCTAATTTGCAAGTTCCGCCTCAAGTGCACCCTGATCATTGCAAGATTTTGAAATACCTCAAACATATTTTGGCAGACGTCTGCTATCACGAGGCCGGGGATTTGAGCAGAGAGTGACAAAATCTCATGACAACACTGAAGATTGTTCTTTTACCGTCTCTACCTCCATCACTCATCATGACAGTGTTTTCATGTCATCACTGGATCCTTGTTTGACGGTAGATGGCGCGGACCGTTCTCAGAAACCTAGCAAAGTGAGCTCAACTCAGACTGCATGTCCCCGCCGTATGGGACAGCACTCAAGGCTAGAACTCAAGGCCCACAGCCCACAGGCTGCTGCGGGCGGCCGCGGGCCGCCCGCCCGGCCGGAACGTCGGTCTCGGATCGGATCGCTCTGACCGCCGCGCGCCACCGTCCGGCCCGGCCGTACGGTAATAGCCCGGCCGGGCCCTGTACCCAGCGGCTCGAGTCCGCCCTGAGTCGAGCGGTCACTGATTCACGTTAATGCCGGGGCCCGGCCGTCACTGACGCCGCGGGCCGCCGCTGTGAGTCTGGCCCCGGAGGCGGCTGGCGGCAGCCTCTGTGCCACGGTGAGGACCGTACCTGGCTGAGGACGGTCGGACCGGCCCGGGCCGCGGCCGCGGATCGGACCGCGGCACGGTACGGTACTAAGTACGGTCCTCAGCCGCGGGCCGTCGGACGGTCGGATCCGGCGTCTCGGAGTCTTACCGTACTGAGTCACCGTCCGATCCGATCAGTCAGTGAGGACCGGCCGATCGGCGACCGTCAACGTACGGTCCTCCGACCGGGTCGGCGTACGGTACGGTCCCCGGCTCCGACGGCGACGGCGACGCCGGGTCGGCGATCCGGCGAGCCTCGGAGCCTCGGAGCCTCGGAGTCTGAGTCTGAGTCTCACAGTGAGCACGGTACCGGGTAATGACCGGGTGTCTGCCAGAGCCTCGGCGGAGACATGAGCCGTGACGACCATTTGGATTGTTCTCAGCAGTAATAATGGAGTCACGTGGGGGCTTCAAAAGTCACGAGGTATGGTTGCTTTACAAGCTAATTCTCCTGAGTACCCCTGTTTGCCTCTTCTGTGTACCCACCCAAAAAAACTTCATTGTCACGGCAAGAGGTCATCGTGTCCGGAGCGACCTCTTTGTTTTTGACTGGAAGGTTCTAGAGAAGTTGGAATGAAGCTTGCAGGGTCAGCATGCCGTGCCAGACCAGAGCATACCGTGGGGTACTTTCAGGATTTAGGAGGGGTAGTCTTGGTCTTGCCTTCTTGGAACGTGTAAGGGAGACAAATCTGTAAAGCATGGTTCCCATGTGACTGCGACGAATGCTGACATGGCATCGTGACCCAGCTTCAATAAAAGCCTCTGCTGGATGGAGGGGGCATCGAAGTCCTCTTGAAGCGCAGACGGCAGCCATGCAGAGATCTCTATCATCCCGCAACTCTCATCTCCTCGACTCGTTCAAGCCATCGAAGGTTGAAAGCCCTTGCTCCTCAGTCGTCGACATCGCGGCATTCTTCAGGAAAGGCACTTCGGGGGGGAGCTTCAAGGGGGCGCTTGAAGCTCTCGCAAACCTCTCGCTCACGGACACCAACGACCAGGAGCAAGGCATCTTCGAGCTGGACACCAGTCTCAACAAGAGCCTCGCTCCCAGCCGATATGAGCGAGTGCATCTGGAGTCGAGCTATGAGGAGGGCGGAGAGGAGCGGTACGTGAGGCGAGGGCGATGGGAGGGCGTACGGGGGGAGTACAATCGCAGCATAGCGATGTCAGCGATGGAGTAACTTGTTCTGTCTATTTCTTCTTTTATTCTTTATTTTTCTTTCTCCGATGTTTTTGTAGCGCATATGAGAGAGCCTTTGGATGTACATATGGTAGAGGACGACTAATTAATGGAAATAAATCAGCTCATACAAATCACTTGATCCTTGCTTCATTCGTCTACAGAATGTTTGAAGGATGAAGAATATCTTCGTGGTTGAAGAATATCTTCGGGGTTGAAGAATATCTTCATGGTTGAAGAATATCTTCATGGTTAACTTCTTGTGCCTGCCGCCCATCAGATTCTTTGATTCCACCATCGTCTGACATCAAGGCTAACTAGTATACTTTCGATTCCCAGTGCATTTTCTTCGGTTTGGGCATTTTCTCTTCGTTTGCATGAAGTCTGCAAGTATTTGCACGATGAAACGGAGTTTGTTTGAAAAGAATGTTTTAATCCTATTTACAAGACGTGGAGATACGAACGATCATGTAAGAGTAGCGAGAGAGAGCGGGACAAGCCGTGTTCCTACTCCCATGCAGGATGAGCAACATGCCCTGACTCAAGGGTAAGTTCGGCATCAAACAGCAGCTTTCTTATCACCAGGGTCCGTGCTCTTGCTCTGCTGTTGAGTGCAAGTCTTGGGTATTGATCTTATCCTGCTGGTCCTGGTCAGTCTTGTTCTCTTTGGCTTCAAAGACCTCTGGATGGACCTGGTCGAGGTTGTCGATAAAACCTGAGCCCATGCACGTGCGGCAGCTGAACCTCGCTCCCCAGCTGAGAGACACCAGGGGGCCAGCATCTTGCTCCACCTGCAGTCCGCGTCACTCCTTCCTCTTCATGCTCATCCTCGGCTGACCGTCAAGTCAGGGTTGTCAATCCAATCAGGAAGGCCGTTCAATCGGTTGCCTGCGCCCGAGTCGTCAGGGAAGGGGGGGGGTGGAGGAGGGGAGCGAACCGACCTATAAGGTCTAAGACTTGGAGGTTCGGAAGCTCTGAAACACAGAGAGGAACAACATCCAAACAGTTTTCTGTGGAGATATCAGCAGCCGTGTGCTGTCAAACAAGACCTCACCTGCTAAGTTGAGACGTGAAACCTTGGTGAGCTCGCGGAAAGTGAGCGGAAGATCTGTCAGCTGATTCCCTTGCATGTCTAAACTCTTCAGACTCTGCAGACGGTCGATCCAGTGAGGGACCTGATTGTTGCATGTCATCCCGAGAACGCAAAGAAAAGTTGCAAGAAGCTCACATGTCTGATCAAGTTGTGAGCCAAAGAAAGAGTATGTAGGTTTGACAAAAATTGCAGACATTCAGGAAAGGATTCCAATCGGTTATCAACGCAAGTGAGCTCTTGAAGCAAAGACATCTCGCTCAGAAAGAAGGGTAAACTTGTGAGGAGATTTTGATCCAAGGTGAGTCGTTTCAGCCCAGAGATCTTCGAGATCGGATCAGGAAGGCATTCAAGACTCAGACACGACAAGTCTAGAGCTCCGGAGCTTGGATGAATGCTGACGACAGACACCTGCTCTACTTGTGATCTATCCAGCGGGTCGTCGCTGCAGTGGTTTGTGCGGACGTCATCTTCGAGAGGACGACTCTGTTCGAAGGAGCAGCGCAGCGAAGTCATCTCAATGTCGTCTGACTTCTGCATCTCCTCATCCCAGCACGAGGTGATGCACCGGTCAACAGGAGCATGCGACCGGCTCTTCTTGAAGATGTGGGCCCAGAATCCTGTCACAGCACATGAGCATGAAGGAAAGAAACGGATCACAAGCTCACCAGCAGAAACTCTGCTTGCAATTGATCTCAACATGGGGTGCCGCTTGTTTAGATCCTTCCTTTCGATCGTGATGACAAGTTGGAGATTCTGTCGCGATTCCAACCAGTCGGGCAGATGATTTTCCAGCTTGTTTCCCGATACATCAAGCATCTTCAGATCCTCCAATGATGAAAGACAAACTGGAATGGATGAGAACTGGTTGTTGATGAGTTTAAGAGTTTTCAGTTGAACAAGGTTCTTGAAATTCAACGGCAAGTCCTGCAAGGCATTTGAAGAGCAATCAAGCTCGTTCAGAGCAATGCAGCAAGAGATTGAAGGAGGCAGGTGGCGTAGCTCATTGTTTGCAATGCAGAGCTTAGTGAGATGGGAACAGAACTGAAGCCCCAAGTTCGCCTCTTGCAACCTGTTCCCTGCTATGGACAACTCCCTCAGGTTCGAAAGGTTTCGAAACCACTCAGGGATGGACGAGATTTCATTCTCGTCCAAGATGAGCCGCTCGATCCCTCCAAGGAACTGGATTGGTTGAGGAACTTCCCCAAGCCCTCGGAGAGAAAGATCCAGCTCGTTGCTCGCGGGGTGCACTGGCAACATCCCACCGAAAGGAGTTCCAACTTCCTGCTGTATGCTCCTCCTCACACTTCGAGATGCACTGGCCAACGCTGCAGAGATCTCGTCCTTGCCTGACTGAACTCTGTCCCAGTTGATCGTTATAAAAGGCCTCGGATAGAGAGCGACAGTCTGCTCCAGCAAACTCGTCGAAAGCACTTTGCGCTGACGAACTACCGCAAGGCCGTTGAGCAAGATTGACATGCCTGTCCATGATCGTCTTCCTTGTCACAAGTTGTCTTGATGAAGAAGGTTTCTCACCTGGGCTGACTTGTAGGCCCTCAACGAATGCCTCTTCCGCCTCCTCCAGCTCATCCCTCCCCAACAGCGCCTCGCCCTTCCTGCAGTATCCCTACGATCGCTGGTCAGCACCGCCCTTTGCTCAGGTCTTCTCGTTACCAATCCAGACATCGGATTCAAGTTAATGCACATCACAGCATCTTCAAAGGCGAGGTCGTATTCCTGCCACAAAAAAGCACCTTAAGGCCTCTTTTCAACTACATTACGGATTCATACCTTGATAGATGCATAACATGCAGATCGTTCGGCCCAGATGTTGTGGCCGCACACTCCGCACTCGATGGCTTGCGTGAAGTAGCGGATGGCCCACAACCTGGTGTCCTGTGTCAACAATGCCCCAACATGATTCATATAAGTTCTTACGGCTCCTTCGCCTTCATGGCGGCAAACCCCAACGACTGTAGATCCTTTGCGTGGTCGTCGTCGTCAACAAAGTCCTCTTCATCCAACACACACTCGTATTGCAGGAACATGTTGAGGGTGCTGTTTGTAGTCTGAGGCGATGTCGTAGCCCAGTTCGCTTTCTGAGAGGAGAAGTTTCGTCTTTTCGCGTTCATGCCTTTGTACCGCCTCCTCCTCCCCACCCATAGCCCGCACAGCCACTCCATGATGGAGGAACTGATACACTTAAGTCCTGACAGAAAATTGTATGTAAGATCGAGCACAGGACACATTTGCTGGCTGCAAATAAATGGATGTTTATAAAAGAATATTGGCTGTAACTCTGTTCGTATACATGTGATCCATTGGTGTGACAAGCATGCTTGTGAACAGGGTTTTCTAGGGTTCAGAGGCCGGGGCTGTGTTCAATATGTTTGAATAAAGTGTTTTGGGTGCATATTCTTTCAAGCTTTACCTCTTGGTGTAAGCGTAATTGCTTCAAACAGAAAGAAGGTGACATTCATTTCATCAGATCAACATTTGAACATTCAGCTTTTTGTGCTAAACTCACTTCAATCATTCTCTTGTGTGTGTAACAAACATCTGATCACTTCTGTTCTGCCATTCTGCTCCCTCCCCTCTTGCCATTCCACTCTTCCCTCAGCGCCCTCAGCTCCATCAGCATCTTTACCGCACCCAGATTGACTACCCCCCACAAAACACCCACCCGTTTCATTTGTCTAGTTACCCCCACCCATACAGTGACCCTACCCTTTTAAAGTTTATAACTATGGTCGATGATCCACCCCTACTTTTTCGTGAAAAATATCCCACCTTAGACCATGATTTGCATTTCGCTAAAACCCACCTACCCCTGACCCTCTGATATTTGACTACCCCACCCTTCTTGATTCAACACAGCAAAGGTGCATATACACCCCCGAGGGCCCCACCCGTGCACATGATTGCTGTGTCGAGAAAAGTACTACCCCCTACCCACTTATTGACTATAAAGTACCCCCCGTAAGATGTGATGGGATGTCCAAAATGACCCCTACCCCCCATTGGTCCGACCCCCAGGAGAGGAAAAAAAAATTCTTATCTGGTTTTCTTGGCGGGGGTATGTCATTGCAAATATTTCACATAAAATACCAAATATTTCTGTAAAGTTTCAAAGTTGTCTTGGATAGTTTGAAGCATTGGGTCAATTTGGAAGATGTCCTGCAAGAACGCAAAATCCTTACTTTTCGGTAACCTCTTTCAAAAAAGATACTATTTTGTACCGAAACCATTTCTTTTCGCGGACATTTCAGTACCCTACCTACCTTTGCCACCATTTAATTTGGAAATATATGGGTGGGGTACCAACTGGATTACGACCCAAACGTTCTGCCGTCCATAAAACTATTATAAAATCACCCGGCGTGACTCACCAGTGACACGATGACGGGGGGCAGCACTACTACCTGATCTTTCACTTAACTCGGCTTTGAGTAAACTTCGGACTCTGAACGGTGCTTCCAGACTTGAAGTCACTAACTTCGGGAGTGGGGCCGCCCGGCGGGCGGCCCGGCCAGGCGGGCCTACCGTAGTACCGTACGTGACGGAGGCGGCTGGGGACAACCGTCACCGCGGCCGGCGCGGCGCGTCACGTTGCCAGAGTTTCACCGTGCGCGCGGCCGGCCGGCCCGCCGTGCCCGCTGCGGCCGCACCGCGGCCCGTGCCACTGGCCCAGTGGCACGGTCACTCAGCCGCCCCGGGCCGCGGCCGGGCCCGGGGCCCGGCCGGCCCGGCCGGGCGTCGGCCGCCAGTGGCCATACGGCGGCCCCGGCGGGGTCCGGGTCCGGAAGAGCCTGGGGACGCGCCGCCGAAACGCCGGACTCGGCGGGACAGGGCCGGGCCGTCGCGCCGGCCCCGGTCACCGGGTGGCGCGGTCCGGCCCGGCCCCCGGGCGGGGGTTCTAGTTTACTCCGAAACTTCCGTTCAACGGTCAAGTTAACTTGTGACTCGGCGGCGGCAGGCGGGCCGCCCGCCGGGCCGGGGCCTGGTACCGTACGGTGCCCGAGTTGCGGATACTTCCCCGGATACCTTCACGGATACTCCGACACGAAGAGACAAGGGAGAACCCCAGCGAACAAGGAGGAGAGGACGAGCCGAGGAGACGAGGGAAGGATAGGAGAGGAGAGGAGACGAGGGAAGGAGAGGAGAGGAGAGGAGACGAGGGAAGGAGAGGAGAGGAGAGGAGAGGAGAGGAGGGAAAAGAAGACTTGGTAGCCTAGGGGAAATAGAGGCCGTGCCCTTTTCGTTACCTCTCTTCCATGCCGTTTTGATGACAGGAAAGTAGAACGGTCTTATCAGAATGCACGTCGAGGCTATGCTGAGATCGAGCACTGTCTTGTTTGTTTTGGCACTCAGTGGCCTGGTATCAGTCGCGATATTGCATCGTTACTCTGCACAACATGAGCTTGTTTCGATGGACTCTTCTCCTGAGGCGCAGAGGGTGCAGGAAGGGCACATGTACTCTCGAATGCAGAGGTTGAACAACCGATTGCAAACGGAGAATCAGAATCTGCGCAGCCTTCTGCAGATGGGTAGAGAAGCGTCATCGGACATGGCGGACTTCTCTGAGAGCAAACGGGCAAGGATGCATGGAATCGAGCTCAATGGTAACGGCTTCCGTGGGAGGGACAGGGCTCGTGGTGATGGCAGGCAGAGCGGGGACTTGAGGTTCGACGGAGAGGACGAGGCAGTAGATGATCTCCTGAGGACAGCAAAGGAGGAGGCAGACTCGAAACTTGGAGTCAAGGAGGGTCGCGCTGGGAGAAAATCACGTGATTCGGAACTTGAGCAAGACGCCGACGATGCTCTGGAGCACACGCTGAAGCAGTGGAAGTATCCGCTGCAGGATACGCATCAGAGGATCTCCCGCAGGCAGCAGTCGCGGGCGTCGAGGTACAACTCTCGTCATCGCAGACGGCTCCGGCGGATGGAGGCGAGAAGATACAGGAGGAAGATGAGGGAGGCTGAGACCGACCTTCGACACGGACACCCGCACAGGGCCCAACGAGCCGCCATGCATGCTCTGAGCAACCATGAGAGGGAGGAGGAGCTGCGTGGGTTCGTTGGGGAGGCTGTGGATCGAAAGCCTGAGGCCTGGAAGCTGCTGATGAAGACGATTAATGATGATATTTCCGACCATGCTGTTACCCAACGCGTTGAGAACAACATGAAGGACGTTGTGGAGCTGAGGCGAGACGTGGAGAGCGCGAAGCATCTGTATGAAGAGAACAAGAGGCTGTACATGCACGACATCACGAACAAGGGTCGTCTCGGGCTCATGCTCACCATCCCATCGCGGGACGGGGGTATGAAGGCGGTGAATCACATTGCCCACAAGCTCGAGCATGAGCTCAACGATCAGGAGCGAGCCTGGGATCGCGCCGACTCCTTGGAGAACGCCAAGGTTGATGTTGCTCGAGAGCTCAGGGAGGAAGAGATCGGAAGGTCTCTGAAGAAACAGCAGCAGATGCAGCGCACAACCCTCCCTCCCCTCTCCGCGAGCTCCTCCAACCCACCCAAGCTGCAGAGTAATGTCCAACAGCTGCGCGACGTGAATGTTCCTATCAAGACCGCCATGGCTGCCCCTCAGCTCAGCTCTGCTGAAGCGCGAGGAAACTTTGCCCCGTCTGCGACCACGACCCCGCAAGGATTCTCGGCATCGGTCGCACATGGGTGTGAAGGTTGCCAGCAGTACTCGCACAGTGGTCATGCTTGCGCCTCTTGTCCTCAGCCTCAGCAGCCTCAGGAGTCAAGGCAGGAAGCTGCTGCTCCTACCGGTCAGCCAGGGACTCAGAAACCAGCGAAGATCTCCTCATCCCTGCTGTCCAAGTTCAGAGTCTACCACATCCCCAGCAACCAACTCGGGACGCAGGACATGGCGATCAGGTCCAAGTGGGAAGGGCTGAAGCGGAAGAACAGGTTGAGGCTGATGGGAGCTGCCAAGGACCTTCCGGACCAGCCGCGCGAAGTCAGCAATGACATCGTTGAGCGACTTCTCAAGCTTGCGCATGCGGGCAAGCTCAGGTCTCCAGATGAGTTCGGATACGTCCGACACCCGATCTCCGATGCGATCAAGTCGCACAGGCAAGACGAGCAGGAGCTGCGAGTGGCGCACGATCTGTACCGTGAGAGAGAGATGTCAAGGAGAGAGCATCGCGATCGGCTGCACAAGCTTCGTCAGACTCAAGATAAGGCTGTGGCCCAGCCAAGGCAGCCGGCGCCTCCAGTGCCACAAGCTGAAGTCAGGCCCAAAGAACAAGAACCAGGTGAATGTCCCTCCTGCTACCTCGTCCTCAGCCTCCTCCTCCTCTTCCTGCTCTTCCTCTTCCTCTTCCTCTTCCTCTTCCTCTTCCTCTTCCTCATCCTCTTCCTCTTCCTCTTCCTCTTCCTCTTCCTCTTCCTCATCCTCCTCCTTCTCCTTCTCCTCTTCCTCCTCCCCACCATCCTCCCTTTCACCTGCTCTTCTCATTGTCATCACATCCTTGTCTTCTCCACCTCCTTCTCCTCCCTTTCTCCTCCTCGTTCATTCCGCACTCAATGACGCATCTCTTCTCCTTCCTACTTCACATGCCTGTCTCCTGACTGCCATTCCTCCTCTTTCAGTTCGTCCCAGGCCCTCGAGCATCAGCCCTTCTCCTGCACTAGCAAGGAGAACTGAAGAACAAGCGCAGCCTCGTGAGCATTGGAAGCGACCTAGCGCTGCAAGCGGACTATGGGGGATAGTTTCTGCTCCTTTCAACGCGCTGTTCGGAGACTCGGTGATTCACAAGACATACCTTCCTACTTGAGAGCAGGACGTTGATAGAGAATGAAAGGAAAATCATTATGATTGTGACTAGGAAATGCAGTTGTTGCGACGGGAGGAGGAGAGGGAGGAGGGGGAGGGGGTGGAAGGGGGGGGGAGAGGAAGGAGGGGGAGGAGGAGGAAGAGTAAAAACAAAAACAGAGACAGAAAGAAGTGGTCGGTGAAGCGGATCGGACGGAGCGGAGGCAGGACAAGGTATAGGGCAGCTTGATGTGGCTGATGTACTCAACGTCTCAACTCGATGTTGAGGTTGGTTATGAAGCGAGAGCGATTCTCGTGGCAGGATGGGAGGGGCTGCATTCCCTTGAGGTCAACGACGAAATCCGGGATGAGGAGGCTGAGGACGCGCTTGAGGTCAAGAAGCATTCCTGCCATGACAGCTTCTGCCTCCTCCTCTTCCAACCTGCACACGTCTACATCCACAACATGAATCTGATTGGAGATTGCCTCCCCTAGTTCGATAATGTCTTCTCCTGTTGCTCCTTCCTGCTTCAGCATCTTGCGGAACCACGACAGTACAGGCATCGATCCCTCCAGTTTCGCGGTCGCATACTGAATCGCTGATGGAGGTGTCAGTACGAGAAGAGAGGAGTTGGATAAGTGGGGAAGGGGGAGCGAGGAGTACGAAAAGTATAAGTAGAGTGATAGGAAGGGAGGAGAAAGGAGGAGTACAAAAAGAAGGTAGAAAGAGGAGAGGGGAGGAGAGCAGAGCAGAGGGGAGAGGAGGAGAGGAGAAGAGAGGAGAGGAGAGGAGAGGAGGAGGAGAGGAGAGGAGAGGAGAGGAGAGGAGAGGAGAGGAGAGGAGAGGAGAGGAG